TCTCTCTCTCTCTCTCTCTCTCTCTCTCTCTCTCTCTCTCTCTCTCTCTCTGTTTCTCGTTTGGAATCAGAATTATCATTGACGTTACAGGTAATGGCTGTTGTTTCTATTTTTATTCTAGCCCCCTGATCTACTCGTGCTAGCTCTTTGTCCTTATCCTTGAGGTCCAATTGATATTTTCGCTCGTTCGTATTGAATATTTGTTGTCAGTGCATTACTTGATTTCTTCCGCAATCGGATAACGATACTGGTTCTACGCTGCACACACCGTAATTAAAATTTGCGGGTTTTTTCTTTTTCTCTCATGGCCTGGTTGTTAAAGTTATATTATACCAGCCAGTATAGAGGAGACTGTGTGGATGGTCAGAGGGTGCTCTGCTGTGGTGTGGTTAACTTCTTCTTTCCTATCAAACGTCTATCTTCCTTATCCTTCCTTTTTTGTTTGTTACTCTGTAGTAGCACCTCTAATCTTCGCGGGTGGTTTGAGGGCGCCACTGGTAGTTCTTACTTCTTTAATTTCCCTTTGCTGTTCCTGTCTGTCTGTCTGTCCCCCCCCTCCCCCCAGCACTAGATTACCATTTCTGTGTTGATGGGCTTCTCTTTACTACTCAAAAAACGTAAACAACTCAACACTTTTATGACATCTTTGTTTTGCAGCTGCCGTGAAACTCGTGAAAAAATTAAACTTAAACTCAGTTGTATTGGGCTTTTTTAGTTGTAGCAAAAATATGTTACGGTCACAGCGTAAGGAAGTTGTACGACATTTGGAGTCTGGAGTTAAGAACGAGCGGATAAAAACAGTACGAGCATACGCTGTTCAGCTGTGAAAACTGCCATACCACATTGCCGGTATGTGCATTTTTTACTTCTTTTTTTGTGCTTTAAGCTAAACACTGCAGGAGTAAGATAAACGTTTTATTTACCTTCTGAAATTGTTCTCCTTGTATTGCACTCGCCACATTCCTCGTCCCCTTTCTCCTTTTCTCTCCTTTCTATTTCCGTGACCGTCCGTAACCCTTCTTTCTCTCTCCCTTTCCTCTCTTTTCGCCCCTTCCCTCGCTGCTTACACTTTTCTCGCCTTCGTTGCCGCCAATCATGACTAAGTAGTTTTACTGCCTTTTGTTGACATGTATATTCACGTATTTCATGTCGTTTTTCATGTCGTTTTTCGAAAGTTGATTGTTTTTTTTCTTCCAATTTGAGCGCCCCCCCCCCACCCCCTCTTCAGTCTATAGGTCTTCTTGTCTCAACGAATGGTTTCGCAGCTCCATTTTTATGTTTCTTGTTAACGACACAATAAAAGCGCGCTACTCAATGTCG